GTGGGTGGCCCATGCAGAGACAAGAGCAGACACAAGGCCCTGTGGTCCGAATGAGCTGGGCACATTGCAGGATCCAAGAGAAGGCTTTTGGAACTGGAGTGGAAGGATGAGGCCATGAGATGTGGGCAGGGGCCGCAGGCTGTAGGGTCCTGTGGGCCATGCTCTCGAGAGCTGGGCCTACACTTGAAGAGCCAAGGTGAGTCACTGAAGGGGTGAAGCAGGATGGGTCATGATCCAGCCCTGTGGGGGGTGGGTGGGTGGTATTAGACGTGCAAGCCTGGGCCCAGGTGAGAGTCTGCCCTTTCATCTGGGCAAGACAGGATGGAGGTGGGAGTAGAGGCTGCACTGGTCAGGGCTCTCCAGAGAAACAGCACAGCACCAATAGGGGGTGTGTGTAGAGGGAGGGAGGGAGAGAGAGAGAGAGATTGATTTTAAGGCTCACACAGTTGTGGGGGCTGATGAGTCTGGAATCCTGGAATCTGTATCAAAAACCAAGATCTGGGCAGTGGGTGATGGGGGCTTGTTATCTTTTCTGAATGCAATCATATTTAGTATGTCATTTTTCCCCACACCCACTCTACACAGTGGGTAAAATCATTCTGATACTGGCCCTGATATGAGTTCTCCTACATTAAACCCAGCATATATGGAGTTAAAACCAAAAGCACTCATCCTCTTTCCCTGCTTGGAAGTTACATTCATATGTAACTATTGGTTTTTTTAAATCCCTGAACTTAACAAGGCAGATAGAAGTTGCAAACTGTTAAGAGCCCAGGTGGCCTCAAGCTGGGCTCACACTGATGTTCTGGATAATTACCAGTCCTTGAGGTTTGTTACAGGGAAACTGATAGCAAGAAGCTAAAGCTTCTCAGACCTCAACTCCTCGGCTTTCTGGCGCCAGAATCCACCATCCACCATGGAGACAGTTTGAAGGACACTCACCTGCAATTCCCTTATCCTGCCCTCCTCCTCCCTGCCAGCAGCCTCACTAGGCCAAACGCAGGCTGGTGGGAAAGCGCCGACCAGCAAGGCCACAGGCTCCCCCTCCCTAAAAGCAGCCACATTCCTCACAGCCTTTAAAACCCCTTGAATCCCGTCTTTCAGGGAGACGGAACAAATCTGAGAGCTCTCGTCTCCCGGCTGACGTTACCCGAAATAAAAACACTTTCTTTACCGTAAGCCTGGCCTTCCAGTTTTTATTTGGCTCCTCTTGTGTGGCGGGTAAAGACCCTGGATGTAAGTTTGGTAACAATTTGGCGAGCCAGCCAGGAGGCTCTTAGCCTGGGGCTCCGCGGCCCCGCGGCCCCGCGGCCCCGCGGCCCCGGGCCAACTGGGATTTCCTGGGAAGCAGTCCAGCAACTGCCTAGGTGGTTTGCCCTAGAGACTGTTCCCAGTACTTTCCGTCTGACCCGGCACCATTGACCCTAGGCACATTTTCTTATGGCAAGGAAACAGGCTCTAGAATTGTTTGTTTGTTTTTGCTTCTGGTGAGTCAATGGACTCAATCTGAAATTCCATAAGTCGCCTTGGGGACGCCCAAGAACTTCCTTTCCCTCTCTCTAGGGTCCCTCTGCTTGCAGCAGGGCCATCTGGGCCCCTCTGCTTGCGGGAGGGCTATTTGGGGTCCAGTAGGACCTTGTGGGCGCGCTCAGAGTGGGAATAGTTGTGGGACTTTACTTGAAATCTGGGAACTAGTTTGCTGGTGTCTTGTTTTTTCTCTGGTGCTCCTTTGTGTTTCTGTGTCTGTGTGTACGTGTGGGATATGTCAACTTTGTGTAATAATGGGAAGTTCACCATTAGTTCCCCGGAAAAGCCCCTTGGGGCAAATTTTGAATAACTGGTCTAATTATAGTTATAAGCCAATGTCTAAAAAGGAATGGTTTTCTTTTATAACACCACATGGCCACAATATTCTTTAGACTCTGGGGAGAAAAAAATGGCCAAACAGTGGATCCTTAAGTTGGAAAAGTTTTAGAGAGCTCTCCTCATAAACAACTGTTTTATTGGTACTTATGAAAAAAAAAATAAGACGACTAGTCTTAAGAATTTAAACTCAGGGTTTCAGCTTCCTTTCATGGTCTTACAGACGCTAATGAAGGACTGAGTTAATAGAGGAGAGAAGGGAAGCTGGGAGAAAAAAAAGGGACTCCTCAACAAGGTGGAAATTTTTAGAGGAGTTAAAAAATAATAATAAGGTAAATAAGACAGTGGGGTAAATAAAACAAATATTAAAAGAGGAAAAAGCAAAGAGGAAACAAAAAGGGAAGAGTCATAGGACTCATCTCAGTAGGATGGAAATCTTCAGCTGGTTATTAAAAAAGAAAAATGGGATAAATGAAGCAAACATAAATGAGGTTAAAACACAGGTTTGAATAAAATACTGCCTAAGGTTCGGTGGGCTAAAGGGACCCCTATTGGTCCCCCCACATTAAAGGACCTCAGATAGGCCTGTTCTATTCACTCCAGTTTGAAAAATTTAAAAAGCCAGAAGACAGAAATCACAATGAGAAACCTGACCAGCAATTGTTTGGAACAACAGTTGGGCTGCTCAGGTTAATAAGACTATAATGATTAAAGTATTTAAGCTAATATTATATGAAGAGGTTATGTCAACTTTGTCTGAATGTGTTTTTTTGGAAATGAATGTTATGTCTGGCTGGGAATGCGTCCCCTACACAGTATTGTAATACTTTGAAAAAAGCCAGCTACAGAGTTAAACAACCAATGGGAAGCCTATTTTAATTTTTTGAGGCTTTTAAATGAAATCAGGAATACTGTACTTTTGCTTTAAAAGAAAATAAGTAAATAATTAAACACGCCAGCAGCGGAAGCTGAATCTGCTGCTCCTCTCTCCTCTCTTACTGAGCTCCCCCACTTCAACTCCCCCGAAATTCTTGACCTAAAATTAAGCAAGTAAAAATAAGTAAACTTTTGAGATAATTTGGAATTGTAATGGCCATTCTGGGGAACTTCTGTTTCAAATGAGTTTGCCTTCAATGTCATCCTTAAAAGAGGATTCAAAACCTCTCACGGTGGGATGCAATCTTGATTAATATGCAGAAACTTCTAAAACACAATGTTATGTCAAAAACAGCTGTAAAAAGGTCTTACAACAAAAGGAAAAAATCTTTAGTAAATATTTTTGGCCATCTGAGCAGATCTACTGGCTAAAAATATAGTTTGGATCTAACTATTCTTTTGAGTTTTGTACCTGAGACGTGGCTAAAATTTTGAAGATCTCTGTTTGTGTTTATCTGTCTCTATGTGTATTTGTTTTCCTTCTGGATGGTACAATTTCTAAAGGAGCTCTATTTAATGGGCTTAGAGTAAACACTCTTATAAGTTATTTCTGAATGTAACAGAAACTAGCCCAGATGTCTTTCAAGTTAACATGATATAAAATAATCTTTGGTAAATAAAAGCTTGTTTAAGTTTGTTAATTTAATTGAAATAAATATGTTTTCAGAGTTATCAACGTTAGATACGATACAGACATGTTATCTCTGTTACAAAATTTGTCATCAAAAGTAAGTGACAGAAGGTTTGTGGAAGTAAAACCCTGAGGAGTTTTGTGCACGGTCAAGTTGGCTCTTTAATTATCACCTTCTTTAAATGGATAGCTAAACACTGCTTCATGAAACCTATGAAGTTATGTTGATAAATGTTATCAATAGAAGTGTTTTAAAATTGTATAACATTCCTAAAATTCTGATCTGTCATGGTTATCCATCATACTTCTGGTTATCTTAAAGTATTGTATGTCACAGAAATAACCAAGTTTCTTTGTCAAATGTCATTTTTTTTAATCTTTTGTTGTTTACAGACAGTTATTGTTTTTTGCAATAAACATAATAAAAAGCTTTTGCAATAAAAAGCAGTAGATGCTTTTACAAAATATGTTTCATCTTCAGAAAAAATCATGGAAAGGACTCTGACACTCGAGACTACAGGTTTCTGATAAACTTTCAGATTATAAAACTGAGCTGGGTAAAAGAAATTGCAGAAGTATAAAAAAAACTGATGGCCTCATGAAGCTGCTAAGAGAGGATTAAGATCAAAAATCGATTACACGGAACTGAGTAAACTAATGAAGATAATTACAATTTTTATAACTTTTTGTTTAAAACATTGCTGACTTTTTTTAATGTTTTGTTTTTCAGGTTTAAGGAAAACTTTTTCTCTTTTCTCTTAAGGAACCATGACCTATAGCAATTTGTAAGCAGAATTGAAGCATTTATTTTTTTCTCCCTACCTGATCCCTCCAGAATTTGAAAACTCTTAACAAGTGAGAATTGTTTGCACGACAATATAGTTATTTGCATAAATTCAATAAGGATCTGTTCTCCTTATAACAGGACACAATTGAAAACATTGGTCATGTTATCAAAGCTTTGACTGGAACATCATATTTAAAAAAACATATACAGGCTCGGACATGACCAGACAGCTTTTGAGGAATGAAGATTGGACTTTATGGAATAAAGCCACTTGGAAATATTGGCCTGGTACCTTGTTTACAGCATTCCCAAACAGCAACCTTACGAATAAGTAAGGAAGGTCACTTATCTGGAACCTCAATATTTTGGGGAACCTCAAAATAAGAGAGGAATTCACCTGTAGGTATTACAAGCAAGTCTAATGACAAGTCCTTGGCTTGACTTTCCTGGCCTTGAGAGGCCCTTAAAGTTCAAGCAAAGTTCCAGCAAAGCAAATTAAAAGAGTCTATATGATCAATTACTATTCTTACTGTACTTATGTAAATAATTGGGCCAACTTTATTAAAACTAGACATTTTACAAACCAATGACTCTTAATTTGGCTATCTGTGGTAAAAATGAGGGTGATTTTACAGAGAAAAATTATATTTCAATAGAAACTATGATACACATTTGTGAATGTTAAATCCTGCTTCTGTTAATTGTCTTGCGGTTTTTGTTATATCTGTTAACTGGACTGGATCATGAATTCTTTTAGTCTCCTGAAATATCTGGCTACAAATATCCAAACTAACATTTTCAATTTTTTTGTCCTTTTCATTTGGAATCATTGAGAACTGAATCTGCCCTTTTTCCCGAAGCCTTAAAAACTGAAGCTGGAGGACTTGATATAGACTTAAGAGAGATTCATATCTGTTACTATGTAAGCTACTCAGAAAGGTTTACCTGAATGCCTGATGACATCATTGGAGACATTTTAAACTGCAGGGGATGCTTCAGCCCTGACGTCTAGAGATCTTGATTGGCCATCCCCTGAGCTCTGAAATTGGTTTATAATTTGCTCCAGTCATTAACCTTGTTTTGCTTTTTGTTTCTCTAGAAATGCTTCTTATTAAACACCTGGTTACTTGCTTACACAATATAGGCCTAACTTTGGGAGCCCACCTACATCACCACCTTACTAAGAGTCTGGTTCAATGAAATGGAACAACCTATGTCACTTATCAGCAAGTATCCCCAGAGGTACCAAATCCAAACTGATTTTCAGGACTGTTTTCTTGGACTCCCCAAGGGATTAAGTCTATTTTTCAGGGACTGTTAAAATTTGGGGTGTCTATTCTTCTTATCCTTCTGGTCAGATACTTAATGTACCTTCAGTAGATGTTTTTCCAAAACTGTTGAACAAGGTACAAAAGTTCTAATAATACTAAATGTCAACCTGAAACCGGGAACAAAAAAATATTTCCAAATGAGTGCTAAACAATCTCATTCCTCTAACCCAGATCTACACCCGGATTCAGTATGAAGTAGCTAGATTGGTCGTCACCCTGAATCCCTCAAGATTGAGGAATGAACTTAAATAGGGGGGAAATTGATACTGGCCCTGATATCAGTTCCCCTACATTAAATCCAGCATATATGGAGTTAAAACCAAAAGCACTCATCCTCTTTCCCTGCTTGGAAGTTACATTCATATGTAACTATTGGTTTTTTAAATCCCCAGAACTTCACAAGGCAGATAGAAGTTATAAATTGTTAAAAGCCCAGGTGGCCTCAAGCTGGGCTCACACTGATGTTCTGGATAATTACCAGTCCTTGAGGTTTGTTACAGGGAAACTGAGAGCAAGAAGCTAAAGCTTCTCAGACCTCAACTCATCGGCTTTGTGGTGCCAGAATCCACCATCCACCACAGAGATGGTTGAAGGACGCTCATCTGCGATTCCCTTATCTCGCTCTCCTCCTCTCTCCAAGCAGCCTCACTAGGCCAAACGCAGGCTGGTGGGAAAGTGCTGACCAGCAAGGCCACAGGCTCCCTCTCCCTACAAGCAGCCACATTCCTCACAGCCTTTAAAACCCCTTGCCTCCCATCTTTCCGAGAGACGGCAAATTTGAGAGCTCTCGTCCCCCAGCTGACGTCACCCAAAATAAAAACTCTTTCCTTGCCCTAAGCCTGGCGTGCCAGTTTTTGTTTGCCCCCTCCTGTGTGGCGGGTAAAGACCCTGGGTGTATGTCTGGTAAGAATTCCTATTCTACATATGAGGAAACTGGCCCCCAAAGATCATACAGCAGATCTCAAACTACACTCTAAGTCTCATGATGCTAAGCCTCGAGGTTTTTACAACCACATTCTCATTTTCTGCGCTCTGTTGCTCCTCCACGCCTCTGGGTACATCTCACGGGTTCAAGACTCATGGAGTCCTCACCACTGCCAGAGAAGACAGAGGCTGCGCTCTTTATCTCCCCTTTGCAGGCGAGGAAGCTGAGGCACAGAGAGGTCGCGTATGCACAGCTGCCCATCTGGTGAATGGGGGCGTGGCGGCAGATGTGGACCCAGGTCCCCTGACTCCACGTGTCCCACACTTAAGCCCTCAACCGCAGGGGCCACAAACTACCACCCACAGGTCAAATCAGCTCACCACCTGTTTTCATATAATTCATGTGTTAAGGATGCTTTTTATATTTTTAAATGGTTGAAAAAATCAAAAGAAGAATATTATTTCATGGCATGTGAAAATTATATGAAATTCAAATTTTGGCATTGAGAAGTAAAATTTTCTTGGAACACAGCCACGTGCATTCATTTAAGCATTGTCTGTGGCTGCTTTCATGCTTCAGTGGCCGAGCGGAGTTACTGTGACAGAGACCACAGGGCCTACAAAGCCTAAGATATTTACTCCCTGGCCTCTTAAAACTTGCTGACCCTGCTCCATTGCATTGGGAAGGGATGGGGCTGAGTTACAACCATTACAGAGGCAAGCAGCATAGGCCAGGGCTGTGCCTTCACTGGTCTTACTTATGCCACTGGGATGCTCTCCCTTCTTCTGGCACCAACTCAACTCCTTTCCCTCTTTGAGGTCCATCTCCTGCTGCTGGGAGCTTCTCTGGACCTGTCTGGTCTTCATAATCCCTCCTGTTCCTCTCATCTCTCAGACCATGTAACGTCAACTTAGTTTTTGATTACATGATGCCTCGTGCAGCTCTTCATTTCATGCACGTTAGCTTTATCTTTCAAGTTATCGGCAAGTTCCTTGAAATCAGGGACTGTGAGTATCTATGTTCTCCACTCCCTACATTATCAATCACAGATTAAGTTTTCCACAACCCAGCTCTGATCATTGATACAAATGACTTCCCGGTTCAGGCTTGGAATTGCCTACCAGATTAAACACGAACTCCTTAGCACGACACTTCAAGCTGGCTACAATATAATCCTCAACCTCCTTTCTTACAGGTCAACTAGTGCCCAGATTAGTGCTGGGAACAGAGTGGCTGCTCAGGACGTGTTCCCTCCTGCTCTCCTCCACTTTGCTTTCTCTCATGCCCTTACCATACTGGAAGAGAACTGGGAACAGACCACTGGATTTGACAATGATGAGGTCAGTCAAGAGCAATTTCAGTGTGAGGATGGGGACAAAAGCCAGAAAGTGGGGACAAAGGAATATGTCAATGAAAAAAATAACAGCAGCAAGTGTAACGTGGATATGTGTGCTGAGACGGAGGGGTGGTGCCGCAGCTAAGGAGGCCAATGTTTAGTCTGGGGAGAGCACGGCATAGATTTTGGGGGAGAGACAAGGAGTCACGGGCAATATGAGGAGGGAGTTGGCTAGGGATAGCTCAGAAGGAGCAGGAAGAGGGCTCAAGTGCAGAGGCAGAGAGAGAAGGGAAGGGAGGAAAGAAAGGGTCCAGTTTCTGTCTTCTCCGTGAGGTTGATGTGAGTCATAAGAGTCATACGACTCCTGTCAAGGATGAGTCAAAGATGCAGGGCAGGAGTAGAGATCTGACGAGACTGGCCATAGCTGATGACATCAGTAAGAGAAGTGCTGAAAGATTGTCAAGGAGCATGAATTATTATGGCCACAATTAGTACGGTTTCCTTACTTTCACTAGCATCACTGGGAGAGGGGAGAAAATACAAGGAGAATATGAGGTGGGAAAGCTGAGATTGGGGATGGGCTGTGGACTGTGCAAAGCCTTGGGAACAATGCCTTGGTCAACACATTTATTGAGCTCCCCTTGGAGTGGGAAGGGGACCAATGAGGGCCCAACCTCAAGAGCCCTTTGCTCTTCACTAGGACTCTCCAGCTAGACCCCTGCTATAGACTGAATGTTTGTGTCCCTCCAAATTCATGTGTTAAAATCCTAACCCCCATGGCCAGCCTGGTCGCATAGTGCTTACGTTTGTGTGCTCCGCTTTGGCGGCCTGGGGTTTGCAGGTTCGGATCCCAGGCACGGACCTATGCACCACTTATCAAGCCACACTGTGGCAGGCGTCCCACATAAAATAGAGGAAGATGAGCACAGATTTTAGCTCAGGGCCAATCTTCCTCACACACACACACACACAAAATCCTAACCCCCAGTGGGATGGTATTAGGAGAGGGGGGCCTTTGAGAAGTAATTAGGTTATGAAAGTGGAGCTCTCTTGATGAGATTAATGCCCCTTTAAGAAGAGACGTGAGAGAGATGATCTCTCTCCCTCCCCATGTGAGGATACAGCAAGAAGGTGTCCCTCCACAAACCAGGAAGAGGGTTCTCAACTCGCTTCTCAGGAAGCGAGTTGGTGGCACCTTGTTCTTGGATTTCCAGCCTTCAGATGGTGAGAAATAGGTGTTTGTTGTTTAAGCCTCCCCATCTACGGTATTTTATTACAGCAGCTTAAACTTACTAAGAAAACCCTGATTTATTCCAGACTCTCTCTGAGTACAATCCCCTGGAGAAAACCTGTTTTGGTGCCATCTTGACAATAACAACAAGTGGGTTTTTTTTTTTTTTTTTTTTTGGTGAGGAAGATTGGCCCTGAGCTAACATCTGTGCCCATCTTGCTCTATTTTGTTTGTGGGTCACCGCCACAACATGATTTGATTAGTGGTGTGTAGGTCCATGCCTGGGATCCAAACCTGCGAACCCCGGGCTGCCGAAGCAGAGTGTGCGAACTTAACCACTATGCCACAGGGCTGGCCCTGCAACAAAAGTGTTTTTAAAGATAAGAAATAAAGTGGCTTCCTGATTCTAGAAGGAGAAAGACAAGAGATTTTTTTCCATCATGTTTAAATCCATTTGCTGTCTTCCGTTTCCACGGCAGTTGTTCTCAAACAGAAAGTGTAAAAAAAATCACTGTGGACATTCTTTTAAAATACTGATTCCTGGAACCTCCCCCAGAGACTATGAGGGAAGGCCCAGGAATATGAATTTTAACAAGTGTCTCAGTGATTCTGAGGCAGGAGGCCCCTCCTACATGGAAGAAAACAGTGCGCCAAGAGGGAACGCAAATTCACCAGCTTAACACAGTTTAAGTCCTAATGGTGTCTAGTTTAGGGCAGTCCTCCAAATTCCTCCTTAGAGACAGATCCACCAGTGAGCTGCTGGAGTTTGAAAGAAACTGGATGTCTGTGGTGCACAAAGGTGTCTCCGGGGATGGCTGCCTGGTTGGCTGCCAAGAGACCCCCTCAACGGCGTTCACCTTGCTGAGCTCTCCTCAGTGCAAGGGCTCACCCTGGTCTGAATCCCAGAACCCAATGTGCGAGGCAGTATGCACAGCCTCGGGGGCACGGGCATGCTAACCATGCTTTCAGGAATCTGATTTGTAAATCATTTTAAGGGAGAAATATAACTGATAAGCAAACTGGATGTTGGTGCTGACCAAATCTATCAGCTGCAGATCACCTAATCAGATTCGGCACCGGGGGGTTGGTTGGCTGAATCCAGGG